TATTTTGATTTTTTTGCACCCTCAGATTCCAGATTTTCAAATAGCTGTATCTCGGCCAAATATTGTCCTATCCTAACAAACCATACATCAATGGAAAGCTTATTTATCAGCTTTTAGATGATGTATAAATCTCAATTTCAAAAAATGTACCCTTATGACTGGTTTTGTGGTCCAGGGTCACATATATTTTTTAAAAAATCAAAAACTAAAATATTGACCACTATTAATTGACCTGGTGATATTTCTGTCTGTGTCTAGTCATTTAGCTTTTGGTCAACAGTGATTTTCTTAGTCTGGAGTTTATAATGTTGCCAAATTATTATTATTAGAATCATGTTTGGTAAAAAAAAAAGACACGTAACCAAAGGCCAGTAAAACAAATGTACAATACGAAGAGTGTAGTCCAATTTACAAGCAAATAAACTGGATCTTTTTTCCTCTTAAAATATTGGTGAATTGGCTTTTTGTGTAACTGTATCTATCTATCTATATATATATATATATATATATATATATATAATCAAACTGGTATATAGCAATATAGCACATTAAATTGATTAAAAGTGACAGTAAAGACATGTATAGTTATACAAAAAAAGTTTTTCAGTTTTGATAAGAACCATTGTTCATAATTGAGCAGCAAATCAGCATATTAGAATGATTTCTGAAGGACCATGTGACACTGAAGACTGATGTTGAAAATTCAGCTTTGCAGTCACAGGAATAAATGGCATTTTAAAATATATTTAAATAGAAAACATTTAGTTTAAATTGTTATAATATTTCACAATTTACTGTTTTACTGTATTTTTGAACAAATAAATGCAGACTTCCTTTAAAAATATATTTGAAAAAATCTTACAAACCCTAAACCTCTTAACAGCATGCAGTATATTAGTATGTGTAGTGTGGATGACATTGATTATGTTCCTTTGATTTCAGGTGGTGAAGATGAGCAGGAGGATAGCAGGGCTGGAGAGACAGAACGCAGAGCACAGACAGACGGAGCTGGTGCTGTTCTCTATGTTACTGTCTGCCTGTCTGATCAACGGCTGGCTGTGGATGCGCAGATGACTGCTCACACTGCACTATACAGACAGCACTACAAGAGCAGCGGAGCTGTTTACTGGGAAGTACAGTACTACACATATTTCTATAGAGATTTACGAAATTTGTTCTCATAAAAATGATGGTCAATGGATGGTTTAGAAACCACTTCTATAGAAGACTCTGAACCTTCCACTCAGATGTGTCACATGATCACGGTAGTGACATGGGCCACTTTGCGTTACAAGTGACTTGAGGAACTCAAGCATGTTTTTCTCCTTGTGAGAGTTTCACTGATGATGTCATTCAGTAATGCAGTCCCTCTGGCTCTTTTGATCAGACTAGTAGCTAGTTTTTTGTATTTGATTTATTCTGCAAATTAAGTAAATGCCGAGATTTTCTGCATGCTTTATTACGAAAGTATAAATATGAATGTTTATATGTATATTTCCTTTTTTTCTTCCAGTTAGGCATTTGAATAGCCTTCATCCTTTTTAACTCACTTCCCCAGCCTGATGTATGATGAATATTTAAAATAATAAAAATTGTAATTGGTCTCAGATATCTCGTTCTCACAATGTCAACATTAAATTAGCAAAATTTGCATTCACATGATGCCTGACAAAGAACAACTAAACACTGCAAATGGATCAGTTTATTAAAAAATTAAATTAACCAAGGAAAAAGTTATTGAAACTCTTTAGACTATAAACCAAATGAAAACTGCAAAGCCTTATACAAAATCTGCATGAGATAAGACAGGAAATGATGAACAGGAATACAATTTAATTCAAATTAATCATCATTGTACAGTAATAACATTGTCAAGCAGCAACTAAAGTGACATGAAACAAATACTAGTGAAATGAATGTAAAAACATTCCTCGTGAGGAAAAAAATACATAAAATGCCCATTGATGGGACACAAGGGTACATACTATACAAAATACAAAAACACATTCTCATAATTTGTCCTGAGATGGACCAACACAATCGCCTTTAGAATCTCAAACTTTAAAGTATCAAATGAAGCAAGACCATCAAGATTAGTTTAGATAACACGACTGAGGCTTCAGGTGGAACAAACTGCTAAACGTGGTAATGAAATGTTGACTTGCTTGACCAGATTAGCCTCAAAATCACTGACCAGTACGGTTAAACTTTAACTGCATGTAGACCAATTTAAAGCATTACAATAGGGGCCGTTTCAGTTTGCATTCAGGGAACTGTATTTGAAATGTAATGAGCTTGTTTATCAGTATTTTGTTCCACCTTTGTCTCAGTCCACTCTTTGGTCCATTGTCTTAGTTTGTGCCCAAATTAGATTAGTGCTCTTCAAACT